TGTAGTATGCTGTACTTGTACCAGCCTCTCTACCTCTTGAAGGAGTTGATTTAGAGTCCTCATATGCTCCTATAGCATGAGCCGGCTGGGCTTTCTCAAATGCTCTGTTTCTATACTCTTTGTCCAGTCCTGAGGTTCTGCTGGATCTTGTCTTGGTCTTGAAATACTCATGCTTGCCATCCAAAGTGTCCACATATTCACCAAACACCTTTAGCTTAGCACTGGATACTGCAATAGCAGTCTCTGCTTCCAACTGTTCCTTTTGAGCTTTCAACTTTGTCATCAGTTGTACTTCTTCAAGCTCGATTTCTTGTTTCTTCTTTAAAGATGCTGCCTTGGCTAACAGAGCTGCATGTTCGGCTTCTTCTAGTACACGTGCCGAAATTGTGGAGCTTTTAGAGGAAACTATTGAGTCATTTCCAGTTACGGAGCAATGTTCACTTGTGTTTTTGCTCCGTGGAACTGATAGTACTGCTATGCTGTCTCCTGGATCAACATCATCTTCATCTTTACTATCTCCACTTGTATCTTCAGATACTTTGATCTGCTTTTCCATGGGCTTTTCTGACTCTATATAGCCATAGGCACCCGGGCTAGGTGCCAGCACCGCCGCTCTCCCGCCAACACCGCGCTTTCCTGCTTGACGGGTTCGCACGCAGCTTCGCGTCTTTGTGCTACCTTGTACTGTAGCTGACTTTGCCATGCCATCCGCCATCTTGTTTCCTCAGTGCACAACGAGTTGCAAAAGGCTTCAAAACTCTCAGAGTTATTCAATTAAATAACCTTTGCAGATCCGTTCCTAAAATATGCACCGTCTTGGCTTGGTAAAGCGAATACAGCTCACAGTTATGTTTATGTAACTAGCAGGCTTCAGTAACTCATTAACGTTTGCCTGTCTTTCACTCTTGGTAACAATTTTCTCTCGCACGAACTTCATGGTACCTTCTTCTTAGACACGAACTTGTTGCCTCCTTGTTGGTGAGACGTGAAGAGCGTTCTCTCTCTCTTCCACGGCTTTCTTCCACATGAGTAGAAGTCTTTACTTGAGTAGGTTTCTTCCACGTGAGTAGGAGTCTTTTACTTGAGTAGGTTTCTTCCACGTGAGTAGAGGTCTTTACTTGAGTAGGTTTCTTCCACGTGAGTAGGAGTCTTTTGACTAGTGTAGGTGCAGCTTTCTTGTACCAGAAAATAAGCTACGCCTTAACTTGTGGGAGCAAAAAGCCTGACACGTGTTTGAGGTGTCTTAAATCAAACTGTTTCTTTATTTCTTAGTTGCACAAAAACGAGCGTTTTCTAAAGATATCTTTGCCTGTTCACGTACTGTATCACCCCGTCGCACGTACTGTGTCACCCCGTCGCACGTACTGTGTCACCCCGTCGCACGTACTGTGTCAACCCGTCGCACGTACTGTGTCACCCCGTCGCACGTACTGTGTCACCCCGTCGCACGTACTGTGTCACCCCGTCGCACGTACTGTGTCACCCCGTCGCACGTACTGTGTCACCCCGTCGCACGTACTGTGTCACCCCGTCGCACGTACTGTGTCACCCCGTCGCACGTACTGTGTCACCCCGTCGCACGTACTGTGTCACCCTGTCGCACGTACTGTGTCACCCTGTCGCACGGTCAAAAGATTGTATCCACTCGCTTCCCATCGGCTATTCTCGTAGCCCCCCGTTTATACTGTAAAAACCGGAAGTGACGTCATGGGTTCAAACAACGGAGCGTCTAACCACAGGGGGGTTTCTACACAGTTGGGATATTCCAAATCAAACATAACCAGTCCGTCAACAAATGTATGACGGATGTACATCAAATCTATATACAGAAATAATACACTCACTTTCTGTCTTATGACTCTTACAACCCGCAGCAGCATGCAGATTTCGCTTCCAATAATACTTTATTTTGATTTGCATTTTAAGCTTGTTGGAGCAATAGAGAAATCGAACAACATTGTTACCGTGCTGCGATTACTGGATAAAGACACTGCTTACAAATTCGCTGTTTACAAGCTTTTAAAAATTGCTCCACTATATAAATAAAGTCCTTAATCTGTATGTATATATGTATGTATGTCTAAAAAATATCTAGGGTACTTCCCGACAAGGTAGAAAGCTGAAATTTGGTAGATCGGTAGCTTTTAGGACACAAACAACAGGGAAAATCGGAAAAATCCTAGCCTTTTCATTTCAATGCCCCCAAATGTCGACTTTGAGTGCCCCGTAAACATGTTTATGCGTTTTGATTTAAAGCTTTCGTGACTGCAGTAATTCATATTATTTATGCGTGTCATTCAGAAACCATTAAAAATATAAGATTTAAATAAAATGAAAGTGAGAATCATTGTTCTGTCTTTTATTATTTTTTTAGATATTTCGTATTAAAGCGTTTTTTTAATGAAAAAAGACACTTTATGATGTTCAAATCCGAATAATTCGAAAATGGTAAGAGATAGGAGCTTTCTCTCATAAATTGTTGTTCTTTATAGAAAAATAAAGAACAGAATCTTCTAAATTGAGCGGTTTCTGATGGGTATATCATTAAATATAAAAATCTGAATTAAAAGCAAAAAACCCACGACTTTTCGATCGCAACACAAGCGGTCTTAATCAGGTCGTGAGAAAAGAGGGGGCAAGCCTCCAAATGTAGCTGCTTATAAGGGCTCCAGAGTGAGTGGGTGGGGGAAAGGGCAAGAGAGAGGGGGCGGGCCAGATATGGGGGGGGGGGGGGGTTAGAGATGGGAGGAAGGAGGAATTGCACCACGGTACACCCATCAGACAATTGGGGGGAGGAATGGTGATACACAACTCCAGAGTGAGTGGGTGGGGGAAAGGGCTGCGTGAGCAAACAATGGGGGGGAGGAATGGGAATAAACAAATGAAAGTGCTCCAGAGTGAGTGGGTGGGGGAAAGGGCTGCGCGAGAGGCAGGGGGGGGAGAGAGGGGATGGGGCAGAGATAGGGGAGGGGAGGAGAGAGGGGTAGAGATGGGAGGAGGGAGGAATTGCACCATTGCACCTCGGTACACCCATTGGACAATGGGGGGGGGGGGGAGAAAGCATTGGGGCAGAGACAGGGGGAGAGAGAGGAGGTGGAGCAGAGATGGGGGGGGTGGAGATGGGAGGAGCGGGGGAATTGACACGGGGAGAGAGAGGGATGGGGCAGAGATGGGGGGGTAGAGATGGTAGGAAGAGAGAATTGCACCTCGATACACCCATCAGACAATTGGGGGGGGGAGCAATGGGGATACACAAATTCAAGTGCTCCAGAGTGAGCGGGCGGGGGAAAGGGCTGTGCAAGAGAACAGGGGAGAGAGAGGGGGTGGGGCAGAGATTGGGGGGGGGGGTAGAGATGGGAGGAGGGAGAAATTGCACCTCGGTACAGAGACGGGGAGCGATAGGGGGTGGAGTAGAGATAGGGGGGGGAGCGGTAGAGATGGGGGGGGGGGAATTGCACCTCCCTACGCCCATCCACACTGCTGACGGTAGAGGTTGAAAAGGAAACACAAATTCAAGTCATGACCCAAAGTGGTTGATGACATCTTTCCAATGATTGCTGAGTTTAAAACCGTCGTCTAGGTTGAAATTGTGTTTGTGTCTGTATATATGGATGGCTTCGTGAACTCATCTTTGTTGATAGCCAGTTGGCTTGCAAAGTACCATCGTCTTAGAGAAATCAATTTCATGTGAGCCAGCTGCATTAAAGTAATGATCAGCTATGGCAGAAGTTTTGGTCCTGCCGTGTTTCAGGTCTGCCTTGTGTTCACGAACACAGTCCGAGACATGTCGATTGGTTTCCCCAATGTAACTGCTGCCGCAGGTACAGCTTAGTTTGTAGATACCAGGATATTGCATGTCAGGAATCTTGTCCTTTACAGATGGGATCAGGTCACGAATTTTGTACACTGTTAAATCGAACCTGGATCTTGTGTTTTTTCAAGATTTTGGAAATCTTTTTGGTTATCCCTGCTATGTAAGGTAAGGTGACGGTTTTGATTATATCTTCAGATGGCTCCTTCCTCACGGTTGGGGTGATGGCTTTGTGGATTGTGAGTCAGAGTATCCATTCACCTTGAGAGCTTGGTGTACGTGTTTGAGTTCAGTGGTCAGGTGTTCATGGTCGGAGATACATTGAGCTCTATGGTGTAGAGTTTTGATGAGGGAATTCTTCTGGGATGGATGGTGGTGGGAATCAGGTTTTAGGTAAGCGTCAGTATGGGTAACTTTCCTGTAGACAGAGTGGCTCATTGAGCCATCTGGTTTCCTTTTTATTAGGACATCCAAGAAAGGTAGCTTGCCAACCTTTTCTACCTCCATGGTGAATTTGATGGCTGGGTGAATGGAATTGATGTGGTTGAGAAATTGTTTCAGAGCCGGTCGGCCATGTGGCCAGATGACAAACGTGTCATCTACGTACCTCTTTCACAAGGACGGGCGTAGAGTGGATGCCTGGATGGCGTCCGTCTCAAATTTTTCCATGAAAATGTTGGCCACAGCCGGAGATAAGGGAGAACCCATTGGGGTGCCCTCAGTTTGTTTGTAGAATGTTCCATTCCAAGTGAAGTATGTATTTGTGAGGCAGTGTCTCACCAACTTCATTCGTATGATAAGCACTTGTCATAAATTGCCAGTTTGCTGTACAAATAGTAATATCTAGACCAATAACCATAACATGTTTAGGAGCTAACGAGGTATAACAGTCGGCACATTGGACTTGCAATCCAGAGGATGACGGTTCCATTCAGTCTCCCACCACAGCAATTGAAGTGATCGTGCAAATTTTTTAAGTCCCTCCCCCCACCGCCTCTGTCCACTCAGCAGTATAATTGCTACTCCCACAACTAGTCAATCGGCAGATTGCGTGTGGTGGGGTCTAGTGTAGCCACACTCACGTTTTCCAACATATCAGGTGATTGTGCAAGAGCAAATTAAGAGCTTTAGAGCTCCGTGAGCTTTCCTGGGTATGCACGCTACAAATAAATTACATGTTTTATTGCAGGTAACAACTTCATCTGGTAACGGATTTGGTGACAAGACCCTCGCGTCGAGTGGGCCCATCATCTCGGACATCACGGACATGTCTCACAGCAGCCCCTCAGCTGGCGGCTCCGACTACGAGGAGTATACGTGAGGGCTTGCACAGACCCATTATTATTCACAATCATTCAGCTTATTGCACTTCTTTAATTAATCTTATTGCATTTTAGTACCTTTCAGCTTTGGGATGTTTGGCCAATGCTGGTTTAATGGAATGTGTTTCATAGCTATTGGAGGAAACCAGAGAACCCGGAAGAAACCAATGAAGGGGAAGAAAAAACAAACTACACACAGAAAGGCACTAGCGTTGGGAATCGAACACAGGCCTTTCTTGCTGCTGCCCGATTGGCTGAACCAATTTTGAAGGGCTGTGGTGGCAATCATGCTTGGAGACTTTGACCACAATCGTGGTAACTCTGCATTCCTCCCAAAGGTAAAAACACACGCAGTGTAACTAGCCAAACATCCCAATGCTGAACAATAAAGTTACTCAGTTGCGATTGCCCACAGCAACTTAATCTCTTCCTGTGAAAGTTGGCAGTACTCTCCTGAAAAAGCGAAAACAATAAAAATAAAATGTGGTTATCTAGTCAGAAAGACAAAAAGGAATCCATACTCTTTGGTTCTTTCGGTAAAGTCACGTAGGTAGAAAAAGAATAGATCACGACGTTTCGATCGCAACACAAGCAATTGTCAGCAGTTTTTATTTGCTGTGATTGTCCCACCTGATGACGATTGCTTGTGTTTCGATCTATTATTTTTCTACCTACGTGACTTTACCGAAAGAACCAAAGAGTATGGATTCCTGCAGTCACGAAAGCTTCAAATCAAGACAAAAAGGAATGATTGTTTTGTTGCAGACCGGTCATCATTAAGGAGGAGCCCCACAGCCCAAACCTGGTGCTAGGCCCTGACGACTTGCTGCCCTTGGAGCCGCAGGATGAGGTCGCCGAGATTCCGCTGGGCTCCGCCGAGGCGGTGTGCAGCGGCCTGCTGTCCCCGTCGTCCCTCATCGACACCATCTTGGAAGAAGACAGCGGTGGTGACGGCGGCGATGATGGCTGCGGTGACGGCAAGCCGGTCACCTTGCCCCTTCCAGAGCAAGTGCTCCCGCCGGCCAATCCAAACGCTGCCACCGATGAGAAGTGTCTCAGCGTCGCCTGCTTGGACAGGTATTGGCTTTGCTGCGTTCACTCGCTGCACGACTCGGTGCTGGAAGTGTGCTCTTGCTTTGTTGCCTTTCGTGGTAAACTACAATGGGGATGAATGGCGGTGGTGCAATGGAAGCAATCACGCCTCGCAGCAAGAGAGACCTGGCTTCGATTTCCGACTCGGTCGCCTTTCTGTGTGGAGTTTGTATGTGCTCCTTTTTATGCAGGGGTTTCCTCTATTTTCTCTGGTTTCCTCTCATAGTTAATGGATGGTATGCTTTATCGTTTTCTAAGGTAATATTGCTGTGGAGTCTGGTCCATCACTATCTTGCCTGAACATCTTCAGCAATAATAGTCTGAGAATAGAGAATATTAAGAAAATTTTACAAAATTCATAATTTATTTTTGGGTTAGGCCCCATAACGGTCTGACGAAATATACCACCCAACACAGCCTCCTCCCCCCCCCCTTCTCTCCCCCCCTACTGCCGAGGCCTACTATATAACCTCGTGCCACGGCAGATCTCTCGCCTACTTCAGCAGTTTGTTTCTTGTTGTGGTTGTCCCACCTGATGACGATTGCTTGTGTTGCGATCGAAACGTCGTGATCTATTATTTTTCTACCTACGTGACTTTACCGAAAGATCCAAAAAGTATGAATTATTTGAATTACATACTGGATTTTTACTTTAACTTCCGGGATTTTATCCTGTTGGTGTTTGACGTAGTTTCAAATTAAACATTGTGTATAATTGCTACATTATATTCGATGTTCTTCGGTCAGCTGAAATAATCCGAAATGGCACGTTAAACGCTTATAAACGTGACAGAATCTAAATATATTTATTTAGACTAGAGGAATCCGATGAGCTATTAAGCTCTTTTTCACAGATGTCCAGTAGGGGTGGGTAAGAAAAAAAATTGTTTGGCTGTGCTGCGTGGTGAAGGGTTCTTTCTGGCACAGATTTGGTCAGATCGTTTTGTGGCCCAACCCAAAAATCAATTATGAATCATAATATTAGCTGCAAAAACCAATGTGTTAAACTAACATTTGAAATACTTGCGCATTTTAACTTTCAAGAGTGGTGTAACTCTGATGTTGGGACTCTGGCTAGCCACTGGCTGTGTGCTCATGGGAGTTTTAACCACAGGCAATAATGCAAGGCCTGCTGCATCCCACCACCACCATCAGCAGCCATTCAAATGTACATCTTGTTATACATGCTCCCCCTGGCGCAACAGTTGAAATGATAGGGCAGGTTTATTTATTCGTCAGTCTCCGACACGCTCCGACTCCTTACATATGACTCGGTTCTGTGCTGGGCACCCAGAAACCAAACACATTGATTCGTTATTTTACAGTACCAGAGTGGATGGGGGGAAGCCCCCACCACTGACCCCTCTGCCTCAGTGTTTTAGTTTCAGGGCTGAGGCCCAGTGATCTATTGAGTTCCCGCTAAAATAAGTTAGTGTACAGGTTTATAGACCCATCTAATTCATTTGAGGCTTCCTGTAGGCTTGCATTGGAATTCAAGGCTGTAGTGACCAGTATAGCTGCATAGAAGGTTAAAAGTTGACTTTGTTCATGCTGCTGCTGGGCCATGGACCAAAATTGATGTTTTAGCATAGCCGTGAGTTGAACAGGTGTGGAGAGTGTGGGGCAGCTCTTAAAAAGAACATTCCACACACAAATAAACATTCCACACACAAATAAGGGCCTGGGTTAAATCCCTGACTCGGCCACCTTTCTGTGTGGAGTTTTTATGAGCCCTGTTTTTTTGGGTTTCCTTCGGGTTCTCTGGTTTCTTCATATAGCTGAAAAACATGCAATTTAACTAGTATTGGCAAAACATCCTCATGCTGAAATGTTACCTGCAAATCAATTGGGATTACACAGAGCAACATCGCCCCTATTGAAAAAGTTTGGAGTCTCCTGAAAAAGAGTATTGAGACTCAGTGAGGCTTTACTGGGAAAAGGTTGGATTTGAGGTCAGATTAGCATGGTTGGCTAGAAACGTATGTATGTTAAACTTCTTTTGCACCGTACATAGCCAACTGTGCTAATTGGAGGTACTGAGGAAGGACAACAAATTAAAGACAAAAAGCAGTTCTAAATAAATTCGTTTTCAATCTAGATTTAAAGTGCATAGCTCCAATGGCTTCCTGATAAATACAGTGCGAAAGAAGTTCAACATACATACGTATAGAAAATGACAGTAACACGGTGCACAAATCTTGCACTGGGTGGGCGCGGTGAATTGGTCAGGGCGGATGTGTGACAATTTGATATGCGTTGTGTGCATAACTCTGTTGCGGCTTGCTGCTCAAGAGCCATGTCTTATCAGAATCAGAAAGGGTTTTATTCGCCATGTAAGTTCACACCGACACGGAATTTACTTTGGCAGGATGGTGCATACATTCAACATATAGGAATCTAAAATCTTAAATAAGTTTTAAACAAGTCTTACTATAATAAGGGTTAAAAGTTTAACACCAAGGGGCTGAAGTATATAAAATTAAATAAATATCGAATATTAAATAGCTTTAAGATATAATTTAAAAATAAAAAATACAAATAGGGTAACATAGTTAATATCGGCAAGGTGTCGTTATGTAGATCAAATGTTAAAAACAGTGTTAGCCCTTGGCCTTGTTTAACAGGCCAGCAGCAGATGGGAAGAAACTGTTTTTATGGCGTGAGGTTTTCGTCCTGATGGACCGAAGCCTTCTGCCGGAGGGGAGTAGCTGAAACAGAGTGTCCAGGGTGGGAGAAATCGGCCATAATCTTTATAATCTTTATTCGTCTGCACTGAGTGACGCTGGGTCATTGACAACTTTCCCGCATTTATTTTACAATGTTCCCTTTCACACTGCTCACAACCTCCCATTATAATGCAGTCCCCATCTCTGGCCTGTCTCTGACGTGCCCTTTGGCACACATGCCCCTTTGGTGATGCCAGCTTATTCATATATGGTCTCCGTTGAGAGGGGAAGTAGGGTTTCTGTATTCCAGTCTTCATGTGTGATCATATAACTGTTTTTCACAGATGTAAGTTGTTATGGGTGGCAGGGTGATGCAGTGGAAACACTCATGGCTCACAACAAAACGGACCTGGGTTTGATTTCTGCCGTCGGGCTCCTTTCTAAGTGTAAATTGGTTTGTTTTGTCCCTGTTCTGCAGGGTGTGTGAGTGGAGTTTGGATGTTTTCCCCCTCTTCTCCATGAGTTTTCTCCCGAGGTCTCCATTTTCATTCCATAGCTCAAACACATACAATGTCACAGGTATTGGCCAAACATCACATTGCTTAAAAATGACCTGCAAATTAGTCAATTGGGATTACACACAGCAGCAGAGTTGTTATCCAAAACTCAACAGGACCCTCCTAAATCCATAATAGAGGTTTATTTGGGTTAGATCGCATACATACAGTGGTGGAAAAAAGTATTTGATCCCCTGCTGATTCGGAATGTTTGCCCACTGACAAAGAAATGATCAGTCTATAATTTTAATGGTAGGTTTATTTGAACAGTGAGAGACAGAATAACAACAACAAAATTCAAAAAAACGCATGTCAAAAATGTTATAAATTGATTTGCATTTTAATGAGGGAAATAAGTATTTGACCCCTCTGCAAAACATGACTTAGTACTTGGTGGCAAAACCCTTGTTGGCAATCACAGAGGTCAGACGTTTCTTGTAGTTGGCCACCAGGTTTGCACACATCTCAGGAGGGATTTTGTCCCACTCCTCTTTGCAGATCTTCTCCAAGTCATTAAGGTTTCGAGGCTGACGTTTGGCAACTCGAACCTTCAGCTCCCTCCACAGATTTTCTATGGGATTAAGGTCTGGAGACTGGCTAGGCCACTCCAGGACCTTAATGTGCTTCTTCTTGAGCTACTCCTTTGTTGCCTTGGCCGTGTGTTTTGGGTCATTGTCATGCTGGAATACCTATCCACGACCCATTTTGAATGCCCTGGCTGAGGGAAGGAGGTTCTCACCCAAGATTTGACGGTACATGGCCCCATCCATCGTCCCTTTGATGCGGTGAAGTTGTCCTGTCCCCAGAGCAGAAAAACACCCCCAAAGCATAATGTTTCCACATCCATGTTTGACGGTGGGGATGGTGTTCTTGGGGTCATAGGCAGCATTCCTCCTCCTCCAAACACGGCGAGTTGAGTTGATGCCAAAGAGCTCCATTTTGGTCTCATCTGACCACAACACTTTCACCCAGTTATCCTCTGAATCATTCAGATGTTCATTGGCAAACTTCAGACGGGCATGTATATGTGCTTTCTTGAGCAGAGGGACCTTGCGGGCACTGCAGGATTTCAGTCCTTCACGGTGTAGTGTGTTACCAATTGTTTTCTTGGTGACTATGGTCCCAGCTGCCTTGAGATCATTGACAAGATCCTCCCGTGTAGTTCTGGGCTGATTCCTCACCGTTCTCATGATCATTGCACCTCCACCAGGTGAGATCTTGCATGGAGCCCCAGGCCGAGGGAGATTGACAGTTCTTTTGTGTTTCTTCCATTTTCTAATAATCGCACCAACTGTTGTCACCTCACCAAGCTGCTTGGCAATGGTCTTGTAGCCCATTCCAGCCTTGTGTAGGTCTACAGTCTTGTCCCTGACATCCTTGGAGAGCTCTTTGGTCTTGGCCATGGTGGAGAGTTTGGAATCTGATTGATTGATTGATTGCTTCTGTGGACAGGTGTCTTTTATACAGGTAACAAGCTGAGATTAGGAGCACTCCCTTAAAGAGTGTGCTCCTAATCTCAGCTCGTTACCTGTGTAAAAGACACCTGGGAGCCAGAAATCTTTCTGATTGAGAGGGGGTCAAATACTTATTTCCCTCATTAAAATGCAAATCAATTTATATCATTTTTGACATGCGTTTTTCTGGATTTTGTTGTTGTTATTCTGTCTCTCACTGTTCAAATAAACCTACCATTAAAATTATAGACTGATCATTTCTTTGTCAGTGGGCAAACGTGCAAAATCAGCAGGGGATCAAATACTTT